AACAAAAATAATTCAACGGTTGTGTATTTTTTCGGGGCGAATTATCGGGAATATATTTTTCACATGGGCTGGAACTTCATTAGTCACCGAGGATTCTGGGTCACGCTCAACAACTGACTAACGTGTTTGTATAATTTTTTTAGGGATTCACGCGGTTTCGGTGTCATCGTCGAGCAACAGCATTCCAGACTATTCCAGTAACCTTGCGAGGTTCGTCGTCCTACGATCGCATGAAACAATTTTTTTTTATTTAATTTATTTACTATCGTTCTGGACGCAGATGACAATCAGTTGTTTCTCTGATTTCCAGTTGACAGAAAACTGTCCTCTTACGAGTATAGACTTAAACCCTATTTTTGAAATTCCCGAAGTCCATTCCCTCCTCTTAAATCCCAATAAATGACCTGGGAAATGGGTACTATAAATAGCAGTCTGCTTAGTCATTACTTAAACAATAATAAATTACTGTTTTGCAATGTAGCAAAAAGTCCGGGACTTTGGTTAGTTGACCTGCGATTTGAGAAGCGCATGTTTGAGGGTATTAAGAAGTCAATTTATGTAGTGCCAAATTGAGATGATGCTATGTGATTCTGTGATATCGTGGGTCACCATTGTTTAACAGCAAGGAATGAGAGGAGAATTCAAAAAATTCAGAAATATTTTTGTCTCTGGCATTGGAATAGGTCGACCAGTTAGCCACAAATTAAAAGATGGCTTGATGTATCAAAAATAATTTCATTTAAAATTCCACCATACCTTTATAGAAAGATACACTATTTGAATATAATATATAAATGGGAGTTATAACACCTCCATTACACAAAACAGCAATTTTCACTATTGAATCTTTTTTTGTGTTTTTTCTCTAGATGTAGAACTGGTATAATTAAAGACCAACCATTCTTTATTTTTAAAGAAGATCCTCGCCAGTTCAGGTATAAATAGTACTTCAGTCACCAATTTCAGTAATTGAATTTGGTTCAATTTTGCTACAGTCTGTTTAATTAAACTGGCGGAATCCACAGAACTATTACCAGAGCTTACGGAAATAAGAAATGGACCACTTGATAACTGTGGATGTAATTTTATTGTTTGTCTTATGTAGTCTAGTAGTCTGGTATAAATAATTAATCATATAAATACAGTTCCCTCGCGGATTGTACACTTTATGAAATAGTGATTCATCCGTTATAGATGGCACTGTTCCAAAAACCGCCAAAAGATGGTAATACGCTACAAATTTCTTTAGAATTATTCATACGGCAAACATGTGGTAAAGTCAGCTGGCGCTGTACCTTCGCGGCAAGAGCCTAGCCTTTGTTTTTGTCTGTTCAACGTTTAAACGCTCACCACTTAAAATAATGCTTAAATCGTTTTTTCTCGCAGTCCCGGAAACTCCAGTATCTGTTCACACAGCTGATGAAGTCGTATCTTAAATTTAACGCACTATTATATTATCTCTATCTCTATCTCTATCTCTATCTTACTCTATCCTTAAACCGTAGGAAGCGATATAGCGATATAGCGATCTGCACGTCAAACAAAGTTCTTATCTGAAAACTTCAACCAAAGCTCGGGTCACGTGGCACGGGAACTACGTCAGCACGGTAACCCTATACCATTAAAAAAATACTAAAATTAAATCAGGCAACTCGTGGGGCAGACGTTTTTAGAAGCGGTGGGTGTGCGAAAAAAAACTCGGAAAAGGTATGACTTATCGGTAAAAACGTTTAAATACCGAATAAACAGCAATCGATTTCCTAAACCGCTGCTTAAACATCGACGGTGACGTCGGCAGTGACGTCGCCATCGGTGACGCCTCTGTTTACTTTGTGCCGGTCGACGCGAAGAAGTGAATCACGTCCCTAATTTCTAAAAATACCTCTACGCCGCTCTCACGACAACCAGGTTCGCCTCAAAATATTGAAAAAAAAACAATATGGCGGAGATAAATAATCGAGAAGAACATGTTACATTTCGATTTATCTACAGGCTAAATTTAAAAATGCAGACACTTTAATATCACGACATTCTCACCTATATATATTTAATTGTCTCGTACCACTTAACAAACAGGAAAATTGTGTTAAGGGCATATACAGTGCGTCCTAATGATGGGAATCTCAGTACTTGCCTGCCGGACATATAGGTTGATCGACAATATCGGTTTAATTTTTTTGTAACTTTGTTTGAAGGGATATTCAAATATTAATAATACTTTCTCATTGGCACACGAAAAAAAAAAAGCACACCATGTATCTGATGCCAATCTTTAATTACAAATGCAGCGATGTCACATATTTTTTTCGCTTAACATAAAAATTGCTTATTGCTTATTTTCCATCTTTGCTTAGGCATGACACTGTTTTTTTAGTTAATGAAAACAACGACCAAATTACGCATTTTGTATTTAATTCGAAGCAGGTGTGCAGATGTTTCTAAACGTAAGTACGATCTTCCAACTATAGAACTTAAAACATCAGGTGACGTTTTCAACAAAACCCCTTATGAAGAAGTTCAGTCACTAAACGCTGCGATCCATTTTCCAGGAAATCGCTGTTGAAACCAATATCTGTGGAATATGGATATTTTCTAATTGAATATCAATAATTAGAGGGGCGATTTTTGGATCTATTTTAAAAAGAAAACGTCATATGATTATATGTGCTAAGCGTCTTACCTTTTGAGATACAGGGTGGTAAAATTTTCAAAGATTAATAGAAAAATATTCTTTTAATTTATGTAACACCACTTTAGATATTTTAATTTTATTTGGCACAGGTGGAGCACTGACATGCCTCTATCGAGAGGCACTATTTAGTGCACCATATTTTTTTCAAAATACAGTGGTGGCGGGCATTGGATTTCTCTTAAAATAAAAATTTTTCTTACAATCTTCAATCATTTCTAAAGAAATTTAGTTTCTTCATTTTTTTCAATCCAATGTACGGTTTTCGTTTAAAAAAATAAAAACCTATTTTCTGCATATGACAGCATGCAAGGAATTATTATCATTATTTTTTCTTACTTAAGAAATTGTCTATCTATTTTATTAAAATACTTCAAAAAATCAAAGTACGAATACGAAGTACGTAAACTCTGAGATGTAGTTTTAAAATCTTTATTTTTATTTCTTATCATTGTAGTAGGCTGTGTCTATAAGAATTATTGATTCTGTTGTCAAGGCGGTTGTTTGACAGTTGTTTGACATGAGTTTTTAAATTCGGTTCTACGCGTCTTATTAATTTGGTGTTTAAAATATCCGAACATTGTTATTTTAAAGAATGGTCGAGTACCTAGAAGTTTGACTGAAACAGATACTTTGATTGAGCCATTGCAGTGGCGACCCAATTAACCAAAATATAATTTGTTCATAGGCAGTCAGGGACACGCCACTGATTTCCTTAAAAAAAAGACATTTAAATTAATTTATGAGCAGTTTTGACTTAAAAATAAAAACTAATTTCTATGCATGCAATTAACCATGTTTTTTTTTTCATTTCATTTTTTAAAGCGAAAACCGTACATCGGATTGAAAAAAATCAAGAAATTAATTTTTTTTGGAAATGATTAGAAATTGTGAGACTAATTTTCATTTTAAGAGGCATAATAGGGGTACTCTAAATAATTTCTCCTGATACACAGTACATGTGTGCCAGATTTCATTAAAATATTTAAGCAGGTATTACAGACATGAAAAAAATATATTTTATTTTTGAAAATTTTAGACCAGGTCTCTTAAAAGTTACGAAGTTTAGAACATACGTTCATATGAAGTTTTCTTTTTAAAATGGACCTAAAAATCGCCCCTTTAATCATTGATATTGAATTAGAAAACACCCTGTATATTTGGCCACATTATCCTCAATTTGGTTAGTTGGGGCTTCTCGACAACTGTTTGCAAAACATTATTTTCGGTTTCCTCTAAAGACTCGCTTTTTCGAGATAAATGTAGGGGAAGGTGGGGCAAGGCGGCCCACATAAGCTATTTTTTTGTGGCGTTTAACCATCAAGTCGATTTATTTTTGACTAACTTTATCTAAATTTACCCAAATTTTAGCGAAGATCCTGGCCGTCGTGCTCCACTCTCCCCTATTTATAATGTTATATGTAATTATTATAATTATTTATTAAAAAGTATTTAATAAAAATAAAACTTACTGATTTGTAACTATTTTCCTAATGATTGAAAAATTTGTTATTGATATTTATAAGATTCTAAATCAATAGAATTATCCAAAAAATAACACTTTGAATAAATTAATTACGATTCGGTTATAATAATATGGAACAGCTTTTTTTAGAATATTTAAGCGGTCCATCTTACTCCTAGTATTACGCAAAGGGATAAAATTATACAAATAATTTTTAAATTTATAATTATAATAACGAAAAAACAAATTTTGGTAATTTTTTTGAGGTGGACCTCCTTGCCCCCGGGGGGTCCGCCTCGTCCCACCCTCCCCAACCAAATTATTTTAAATTTCGAGCCAAATCGTAAGAAAATGGTCTTACTTCTTTCTGGATATGCATTAATATACGTTGCTGCTGTATTTACAGTACTTTTTCGGTACAAAATGTAGCACGTTAAAATATTGGTGTTAATTACTTCATCAGTTAACCCAAATCATATTGTTCATGAATTTCATTAAGTCATCATTTATTATATTGTTTATTTTCATGTTTATAAAACTTCTGGGTAGGGCACAGCATTGGAGGTAATAAAAAAATGTTATTACCATTTGCATCAATTGTTTCCTTGCCTTTTATAATATTAATTAATTAATTATAATTTTGGTTCACGCCACTTCTCACTGGAATAAGAATTTTGAAATTTGTAACCTAGGTTCGGCCTGACCGCAAACGCCACAGGGTGACGTCACGCACGTACATTATAATTAGCAATAAATTAAACACTGGCGAAAAAATGGGATACTTTAAACAAATCCGGAGTATTTACGGACGCCGGCAGAGCGGTTTCCTCAGATCATTATCGAAAGCCGGCTGTGCAACAACTCTCCGACCCATCTAGTCAATATTTGTGTCCATTTAAGATAAAAATCGATTCTTCGAAAATGCGTGTGATCAGTTTGTGTATCGTTAGCTTATTCGTCTGTCTTTCGCGTGCCGTAAGTAAAAAACCGTCCGAAAAATTAAATTACGGTCATAACATATCAAAAAAATCTCACGTTGTACAGGCTGTCCCAAATTCGAAGGGGACTCGGAAACCGTAATATGTTGATAATTATGAACATGTTAATTAATTCTTGTGAAAAACCTGTTTAAAACAAATGGTAGTTTGTTATGTAAACTTTTGGAGATATTGCGCCACAAATATGGCGGAAAAATAACGTTTTTATTAGATAGACCAATAAAATATCATTCTGTCATTCTTCTTCACTGAATTTAAAGAGAAACTTACGCAACTTACGGAATGTTTAGTTGGTTGCTGTTAAATAGCAGCAACATTTATAAATCATCTTCTAAACAATTACACTTTTAAACGTAATTTGGTAAGAAATATTTCTGTAAGTAATCTATTCGTGCCTAAGAAGTTTTCAAGGAATTTCCGTGTCTACATAAAATTAGTGTCATTCACCATTATCGATTGAAAACTCTTATTGTTAAACAATTAAACGATTAAATCTAATCTAATTAAATTGACGGAGCAACCTCAAATAAGGCAATAATAAGAAACGCCTTAAGAAGTGACAGCAATCCGGTAGATTTTTTTATCTAATAAATTTTATGCATTGACTTAAATGTTGCGAATTGGGGAGAGCGTTTTTAAAAACATTCATTAACTTTAATTAATAGCGCTTTTACAATATAACAAAGCGGAATTAGCGATATTCCCTTAGCTATGGGCTTCGTCTGCTGTTCTGGATAGATAACTCGAAAATAACCAAACGTTTTTCCATACTTCGATTTTCGTCTTTTTACCAAAAAGGGCTTCTACCTTTAACAATAACAATTATTTTATTTATTTCTTTTTTCACTGGTTCCATGGGAACTATTCTTTCTGGTAAGCCCCTTAGCTAGTATATTTCGTCAATATAATTTTTTCAGACTGGGAGTATTAAGAACTTTCATTGCGTTCATTTCTGTTAACTGGGTTTTCTGTAAAACGAGAAGTTTTCCGTAGTGAATTTTTACATCATCAAACAATTTTTCTTCGGGCAGTTTACTGGCATCTTAATCAGCACTAGTACTTCGAGTTGCATATATCGATCGGTGTTACATATGATTAGCAGTTTTTCAGGCTTCTGTAGCAGAACAAGATATGAATCTTAGTGATTTGTTCTATGGTTATTTCTAACAAGTTTATTTTTGTGATAGGGCAGGTTTCTATTCCAATGTTCCCCACGCATACATCTTTGGGATGAGTCTCTTCTTAACAGAAGTAAATTCCTTCAATGACGCAACATGCTTCTGCGGTGAATTGTCTCTTAATTTTTATAAAACTTTTAGATTCCTTCTGCGTCGGTTTTTGCTGGGTCGAACTTGCTAACGTTTCGCCAATCACCCTGTTGGCTTCTTCGGAGCTTGACTGAAACTGATTCTCGTTGGTTTTAATTTAATTTCGCGATAGTTTTATTATAGTTATCTAAGGTAAATTATTTTGTTTTTTTCGAGTGTATTTACTGCTGATTCCAAATAACCATTTATCTGTTTTACCAATAGCATTAATTAGTCTTCGGTCCTTATGAACAAGATGTAAATTTTCAAGTTTTTCGACTCTATGATATGACATGTTCAATGTTAAACTTATCTTTAATTATTTCAAATGCATTCTTTATGCTTTCTAAGTGATTAATTATTTGACTTAAATCTACATAAATCTAATAAATGTTGAACTGAGGTGGCTTTTACTTGATGAAAATCCATTTATCAAAATAAATAAGAACTAATAATTCAGATTTTGGGGAAATTATATATTTTGACATGACAATTGTTTCGACAATACCGGTCTTTGTAAAATGTTAGCCTCCTTTTTCATAATCGTTGTACACGTTTCAACAATCTTTATGCGAACTCATCCAGACCGTCTCTTAAACAAAATTTTAAAAAGAAACTGTTAATGTAGATTAGCCACGGTGTTGTCGAAACAATTGTCATGTCAAAATATATAATTTGCTGAAAACCTGAACTTTTAGTTCTTATTTATTTATTTTTTTCTAATAAATCTGTGTTTGTTATAAATTGTACGTCAGTCGTTATTATTCGTTTGGTTTGAACTGCCACGAGTAGAAGAATCAACATTTTGATTTTCATTAGTTTCCCGAAAGAATAGATTTTTGTTCGAATTTTGTTCCCTATCTTTAAAATTGAATTCAATTGTTTTTCGAGATTTTCGATTTCAGAATCGTTCATCATTTGATTGATTAGCGTTTTCGAAGGGGGAAAAGGAAATGGCATTTACGGTTTCCTTTCTCCGCTCTTTCCTTGGTGATAGTTCTGAGGGATTGAAAACCCACGTAGCGGATTGTCCAAAAGTTTTGAACTTTCCCCTATTGGAGATTGGAAAATGTTGTTATGAAAAAATTGCTGAAAAAAAATGTTTCTAAATAAATCCGAAATTAAAGAAAAAAAAACTTATTTAGTTAGACTTGTTTACCTGAAAAGTAGTACCTTTCAAGACCCGAAAAGTCTATTAAAGTCTATTTTAGGAGTTATACGGGAAGCGAATGCGTTTCGACCTTCACTTTCTAAAAACTCTCCCTCTGAAATGCGATTATTGCAGATCCCGACCGAAATCAAAAAGAGACGCTCGAAACATGTGAAATTCGTTCCCGAATACGATCGAACGAGTTGTTACCCATTCGGGTTATGCAACGAAACGGCGGCATATCCCGAAGAGCACATCGAGAAGTTGGTGAAAAAGATCAAGAACAAGAAGCTGCTGCAGCTGTTCAACGAGTCGCTAGTCGAGTCGTTGGAGAAGGTGCCCAAGACGGAATTTCGCGAGCCGAGCCTAACCGAGAACCTCTGCAGGACGAAGAGGGTTAGCGTCTTACCGAAGACAGCGAAAACCGTGGACAACAAGCTCCGTTTCGTTGTGAACGTGCAAGGACTCAGCCAGAGTCTGATCTATGAAACATGCGTGTAAGTGTCACTTTGGTAGTATCGGTTTTATACTGCATAAATAACACGAAAAACAGAACCTTAACTAAGTTGGATTGGGATTGATATCGGTAATACCACTTTACATAGTTTAATGAAATATGGCACATGTGTACTATGTATCAGGAGGCATTATTTAGTGCATCACAATTTTTTAAAGATAAACCAGCGGTGGCGTACGGAATTTTACCTGTCAATTTTGGCAAACACAGATGGTACACCACTAAGTTCTCCAATAATAAAAATTATTCTTACAATCTTCAATCATTTCTAAAGAAATTAAAATAGTTAAAAGTTAAATTTAAAAAATCAAAGGATGTAAACTCTGAGTTGCATTTTTCAAATCCTTATAAATATTTCTTATCAGGCCGTGCCTGTAAGAGTTATTAATTCTGTTGTCAAGGCGGTTCTTTCACATCAGTTTTTAAATTCAGTTCTTGGCGTGTTATTAGTATCCCAGCATTGTTATTTTGAAAAAAGATGGTCTAGTTTACTAATGAGGAGTTGGCAGATATGCATTTTATGTATGGTTTGGCTGATGGAAGTGCGCCGGAAGCTAGGCGATTATATCAAGAGCAATTTCCTAATAGAATCGTACCAGAAACAGGTACTTTGAGGGCAAATAATCATTTTAAATTCTATTGATGAAAATTCTGAACTTCGTACGAGAAAAAATGGAAATTATCTGAAAATCTCGCACATCTTGGTTTGGAAAATTTCGCACGATTTTCAATTGTACTCCTATCATATTCAAAGAATCTAATCAATCTAATCTAATATCTAATTCAACGTTACTTCCAAGAAATTTTTCTTTACATGTTAATTTTTGTCAATGGTTTTTGGACAAAATTGCGTATTATCGCTTGTTTGACCGAGAAATACTGTTTACAGATGAAGCTAACTTCTCCTGACATGCAATCAGAAATTTCCGCAATAACCATATTTGGGTCGATGAAAACCCCCATGCAGTTGTAGAATTTAAACATCAAAAACAGGTTTCGGTAAATGTTTCGCTGGAATTATTAGAAATTATTTCATTGAACCTGTAAAAGTAAAAAGAACTGTCTTCTAATTGTCTTTTCTGAAGGACACTAGTTGCTAACTAAAAACTAGATATTTTGTTTTAGATAGATATTTTATTTTCCGCAAAACAAAGTTTTCGCTTTAATCAGTGCGGTGGCCACCTAATTAACCAAAACATTATTTGTTCATAAATAGTCAGTCATAGTCATAAAAAAATAATGACATTTGCATTCATTGCTGAGTAGATTTCTCAATGGCGACATAATTAACCAAAATATTATTTGTTCATAGATAGTCAGTCACAGTCATAAAAAAATAATGACATTTGCATTAATTTCTGAGTATATTTCTCAATGGCCACCCAATTAACCAAAATATTATTTTTTCATAGATAGTCAGTCATAGTCATAAAAAAATAATGACATTTGCGACATAATTAACCAAAATATTATTTGTTCATAGATAGTCAGTCACAGTCATAAAAAAATAATGACATTTGCATTCATTTCTGAGTAGATTTGATTGATGATTTTTTTTAGTCCGTCACACGGTTTTTAATTAAAAATAAAAACTGATTTCTGTTACGACCATGCAGAGAAGAGGTATTTTTTTAAGTGAAAACGGTACATCAGATTGAAAAAAATCCAGAAATTAAATTTCTTTAGAAATGATTGAAGAGTGTAAGAATAATTTTTATTTCCAATCAATCAACTAACCAAAATAGACCGGTGAAATTCCATGCGCACTCCACTGCTGTATTTTTAAAAAATGATATGAGAAGATATTAAATATATATATATATATATATATATATATATATATATATATATATATATATATATATATATATATATATATATATATATATATATATATATATATATATATATATATATATATATATGTCAAATTGTCATTATTGATAGGAACATAGGTAATCCCAGGTATTTTTTTTTAAATTTTATTGGCTCCCCTGTACATTGCATAACAAATTTTTCGAACTGGCTGGTATAATTAACTCACGTGCCCAGTTATTGAATTAAGTATGATGGCAAAATTAGAAAATGTTTATAATTTAGGTAATAAATAAAAACACCAGTAAAATCCAGTTTAACAATGGCAACTGGAAAATTCGTGACAGTAAGAATATTTTTTGATTTTTGGTTGTTATACGTTATTAAAACATAATTAAGTGGTATTATGCAGGAAACAGTTTTAGAGCAGTGCCTGAAATGTTTTCAGTTTCCTTCGATTTCAACAATTAAATTTACGTGAACAAAACAAAAAAGAACAAATATTTTTGCTATAAACACGAAAAGCCCCAACAGCTCTGGGGAGGCGATGAAGACAGAAGAGTAGCATTTTGTTTTAAAATGATGGAAAAAGCAAATAATGCTAGGAATTTTTAAAAAAGATATTTCTTTTACTGATGAATTCTTCATTCACACTCGACAACGAGACGAATGTTCGAAACTGTCGGTATTGTTATATAAATGTTATGGTGGGAACTTGCGGACATCATATTATTGAGCCATTTTTTTATGGACTACAACCTCAAAGCAGAAACCTATTTGCACTTACTACAAACCCAAATTTAGACCGCACCAACAGATCTGGTACCAGTATGGTTAGGGAGTATCTGGAACATACTTTTAACGGAAATATTATTGGCCCAAGGTGCCGAATCCTTTGGCCACCCAGGTCAGCTGACCTCTCGCCCAGCGACTTCTTGCTGTGGGGTCACTTATCTATAAAAATAACTAGTTACAAAACGGTATATCTTTAGAAATTTATAAACGCTTAGGATATTTACATTAATTTAAAAAATATTGTTTATTTTAAATAATATTTCTATTTGATATGTCATTGTCCAGCTTAACGTCGTCAAGTTTTGGAAATAGCGTAATGAAAAATATTCGCTGGTGCTTGTTATATTGACCTATTTGGAATGTTGCCATCATATTTAATTCCATAACTGAAGTTATATTACAACTTTATATAAAATGCACAGGGGAGCCAATATTTGGCATCACCCGGTATGTCAACAAAAGTATTAGCTTTATTTTTTATTACTATTTATTACATTCAGTTCAATAAATGTAGTAACAAATTACAAATAAAAAAGAGTTTGAGAAAAACTACCCATCTACAAACCTTAAACATTATCACTTTTGAAAAACTAACTATCTTATTTCTTTTCAGATATCAAAAATGTTTTTAATTTTTACTCTTCCACTTGTTAGTGAGAATTACAGTTGGTGTTTTAATTGATATTTCAGGATAATGTATAATATCACATAAAAATCACTTTGAGAAAAATGCCGCCTAAAGTATATGTCTAAATTAAGCCACATCGATGTTAACTACGCCTCACCCATTGACATTTCACACCTTGAATTTTCGACACAACTTTTTATTTCTACAAAACCATTTTCCATTATTTAGAGACGAGGGTGCTGATTGCATCGACAACAAGATGTTCCCTTACAACTTCCAGACCGTCTGCAAGCAAAAGTACAGCGTAGTCAGACTGATGTCGGTCAACGAGACCGGCAAATTGGAATATGGCAGGTTCCTGGTGCCCAGCACCTGCGCCTGTCACAAGGTGGTGCTCAGCGAAGAGCTGCAGTTGTTAAACACTTAACTTTACGCTTTAATGTGATTCTGTTCTGTACATAATTTTTTTATTTTTTTATTACACAATTTTTTATATCTACTCGTTTTTCCTTTCGGCCAGCTTCGATCTACCTTCTGGTATTTGTTCATATCCCCATAAACCCTCAATCAATTTATAAACTTGCTGCTCCAACCTTTTTCCTCCATATTTAAACATATCAGCAATAATTGTTTTACGGACCACCACCTCATTTTGCGCTAAATGTAAGATGTTATCTTAATTTAAACTTTCCCCGTAAATGGATTTTCAGAAGTCTCCGCTTCTTGAATGACCAGCACGCACTCCGGATTTGAATCCAACGGATTTTTGTTTTTGTATACGGTATTAAATTAGTGGTTTGCAAAGACCCAACAAACAGTCATTAAACGAATTACAAAATTAAGTTTTTGGTTTCTGTAATAATTGGCAAGTTAGCAAATTAAATGAAATTCAGTTATGTCCAATTATTTTTTTCTTATTTTGGGTTTTCATTAGTAATAGCAATAGCAAACAGAATAGGTAGTTTTTTTTATTCTAAAAGTCTTCCTTTTTCATAGGGTTACAAAGAGAGTTAAAAATGTAAATACTTTCAAAACGGCTTAAAATACAAACAATGAACAATAATCTCTTTTTTGTTCAGAAAATACTCAGAAAACGACTCCGTCTATTTATTAAGAAACATTATCCCAAAACCTACACCATATAATTTCTCATCGCCAAGTAATAAAACACTTTTATCACCTTGTATCTCCGTAAGTTTTCACTTCATGACGTATAGGTCGAAATATTTTGATACAAACATTCTCGTTCGTTTGGAAACACCCTGTATATACGATATTTCAATTTTCTTAGTTCGTTGTAAATGTAATTGATATTTAAATAAATAAATAAATAGCAGCTTTTATTGAAGAGAAAGAGAAAGGAAACAATTTCGTAAAATTTTTGTAAAAATGCAATTACTTTGAGCTATTACTTAGGGCAAAGTCTAGCACTGTTGTATTCATAGTCAACCCCTACGAACTTAAACAGTCATAAATTTTAACTAGTTAAATTCATCAACAATACACAAAAAAGTTTTAAAATGATTTAACAATCAGTGTATCAGGAAGCCGGTCACCCTTAAGCTGTTTCCCCAACAACAACAGCATTTTCATAAAAATCCATTGCCACTATTATTGCTATCTCAATAGAAACACTTTTAATTTGTATTTAAATTTATTTATATTTAAAATTTTGTGAAAGTTTATTGTCTAGGCTAATCGTATGAATCTCAAAGCATCTAGAAAACATAGCAGTCTTATGTTGCTGTAGTACAAGCCTATTGCTAAACCTAGTTAACCTTAAATGAATATTAGACTGACTCCGATGGATCTGAAATAATGTTATGTGCAACATTCTAGACTTCACAAATAAACATTTGTCATTTTTTATTATATAAGTTATAGGTCCGAATTTTCTAATACCATGGATTAAACGATAACAGAACTTTCGTATTTTTTGAATTCTATTTTTATCGATTTCGGTTAAGCAAGACCCATATAGAAAGTCGCAATAGTTATACTGGGAAAGCACTTTTTTCTAGTTTTTTGATTCAAAATTTTCCGGTTGTAGCCTTAAATTGGAGTATGCTTTAATAAATATTTTAGACGTTCTCTAAAACGCATATTAGTATCGATTGTTACGCATAAATTCTTCGCAAGATCGGTAAATATTAGTTTAATATTGTTTAGTTTTATATTTAAATTTTCTTGGAGAAACACTTTGTTCTTTTTATTACTAAACCATAAAAGCTTTCACTTGTTTGGATTTAGTAGCAAATTGTGCTCTATAGAAATCTGTTTAATTATTTCAAGGTCATTAATAAGATGCCTGTCATACAGATGTATAAATAATGAAAAACAGAAGAGCTAAATTTGAAACCTAAGGCACTCCAGAATCCAACAATTGAAACGAAAACGTTTTGAACAAATATCCTTTTCGATTTGATTTCGTCCACTCAAATAAGTCCAGCACCAAGTCATCAAATTCATAATATTTTAGTTTTACACATAATAGCTTATGATTAATCTTGTCAAATGCTTTGGAATAGTCGAGTAACATAAACACACCACCAACCAAAAAACTGATTGATTCCTTTAGGGTCAGAAAGGGATGTTGGCAAAGAGGTATTGAATTTTAATAAACAAATATTAAGATTTTGAGTGACTTTTAAACCTGTTTTGAATGTTAATTCAGTTTAAATATCCCGTTTTCTCATTTCGAACCATTGTGACAATGTAGTTCCAGTCATGAATTAAACGTGTAAATCTAAATTTCTGCAACGTGCGGTCTCTTGCTTCCACAACAAGCTTTAGATCATGAGTTGACCAAGGTGCCAGGTGGTTTGGTAAATTCTCTTATTGCACATTTTGACAATGTTTCTTTTCTAATATTTCACATAAAATTCGAAATATGTCAGAAACGATAAGGCTAAAAACCCCTTATATATAATACTCCAAAGATATGAGTGAGTCCGAACCACTTCGCCTTTAGGTTTTTTCTGATATTATTAACGAAACCAAAGAACTTTCTGTCCCAGTTTCGTGTTGGTACGCACCAAGTGTAAGAAACTATCGTTCGAGGAAGGAACCATCTCGTTACGTGTCAAATGGGGCAGACGATAGCGGAAGAAAACGACCTAAAACGTTACCATTACGCATTATTTTTATCTGCGAAGCAAATTGAAATTACGCAACGCGATCGACCCCCGTCCCTTAAATAACGACGATGGAGGGTGCCGTATATAACTTCAGTCGTGGCTGCGGTTTCTTCGTTTCCTTCTGTGGGCGGGAGAGCGAAGAAGCACGCGAAGCGACGTTCTTCTTCGTCGATCGAAGAGAAATACCGCGGCGGTTGTTGTTTTAGTGAATGTGCGCGACCTAGACATTGATCCGAAGAGAAACATGAAGGTAAGATTTCGCTCGCGTATTTCTTCCTTTTTCTTTCTTCTTGGCGAAAATTGAAATTGAAGATTGTTCAATCTGAGACAAAAAATTGCTCGATTCTTGTATTGGTTGAATGAAACCTAAAATTAGAGGACGGATCATGCCAAAGTACGCATCCTGGCATTATACGGTGTATAAATTATCTGTCATCCGTCAACAATTTAAAACCTCTCTTCTCGGCTCAGAAAAAACGTTTTTTTTGTTTCTAGCACGAAATCAGCTTTAATCGAATTATCTTGAAATGAATACCGAATCCTACAGCTTCAAAAACACTGTCGTACACTAATTGCGAATTGGATTAATAAGTTTGACTCCACATTCAGCGAACTAATCTCCTTATATTTTATTTCGTAGTATCACCAATAATCTACATATAATCTTTTATGCGTGATTATAACATTTTTTTCAATGACCAGACAATAGATTCCTTTTTGCTAATACCAATGTGCATTTGCTTAGATGCGGAAAGAAGCCGCGTATATCTAAAATTCATTTTTTTCTTTGTTTCTCTAATTTTCTCAACTCATTTCATTTTCGAACTGCCAGACTCGGTGGTTTGTTTACATCATCAAGACAATCAAATCTAAATAACTGACCAAAGGGCAAGAATCGACATTATAGTTCCTACAAACATTTTTTGACACTTCTGCATAAACGAGATAAGGAGATGAGATTTTTGCGACAACGAGCTACTTATGTATACGCTAAAACCAAAATATAAAATGTGTTTATAACTTTATAGATGCAGGGTATTATAAACCAAAAAACAATTTTCAATGAATTAAAGATGGTGGAACGAGGTGTGATAAAATCCGCAACCTTCTTTAAATCTTTAAAAATATATACCGCGTATGTTATTTAAAATTTTTATTAAGCTAAGTGAAATGCAGCTTGCGTGAAACAATTCTGATCTTCAACTCTAAGTTTTGTTCGCTTGTAGAGGTGCAATAGCTACGTTATCAAAATCGACTTTTGTAAAAAAAGAAGAAGCGAAAAATTAGTGCGAAAGGGATAAGTCCCATACTGAGACTAATAGAAAATTGAATGTCAAAAGACTTCATGCCTTAGCTGAATAACCACAAACCTTAACATGTTTGGGTACAGTTCATAAGAAAAAAAATTGATATAACTCTACATAATTATAATTATAATGATTTTCCTTTGTCGTTTCCACCATAACCTCTAGATCAGTCGGTTTGAGTATAAGAATTGACAGGAGTTTATTCAGTGTTGGCTTTTAATCTAAGAGTAATCGACATTCATTGATAAGCACCTCTAACTACCCCCCGATTCCTCCATTATCGAAACATTTGCATACGAAACAGGGGGTGGTGGTCGAAGACTTACGCAACTTATTCGCAATAGTGCCGAACGCATTAATAATTTGGCCGGTGTGCAATTAGCCGGATTTCACTTTTTTAATCGAACGTTCAATTAAAAATTACCGATTGCCTTCTAGTTTCTTCTTCTCCCGACTTCTTCCGGGAACTGTTGCGTATATGTGCCATTAGTTAAGGTATCTGAAGCTCTTGCGGTATGACGGCTCAGGCTTTAAGTTGATGAAAATCCGTTTAGCACAATTTTCACAGTTATTTATTGGCAAATTTGATCGTTGCTTTAAAACCAGGTAGGTTATCAAAAATTCCTTTGAACTAATCAATAATGATAAAGACTTGTAATAATTTCTCCTAATGCAATGTTAGTTTCTTTTGATGTCCAATAGACAATCTTTTTTGAATTGTATTGTAACAAAATGGTTGCCTTTTATTATTTTTTCACAACCACTTAATACGCCGCTTTCCACTGAAATTGTTGAAAAAGAAACAAATATTGTAATTAGATTGATAGATAAAGTAATAATTAAAAAATAGTTGCAAATAACTCTAATCCATACTATATTAATGTTAGTATGGAAGTTTCAAAAGATCTGTCTAAATTTGGTCTCGATGTTCCTCGTAAAACTGAAAACGCAATGGGAAAATTGGACCCATTGGATTTAAATATGTTTTCCCTGTCAAATTTAAATTTATAACCCTAGAACAAGGGTAGTACTAGTAGAATCCATTACTACTTATTTATATATAGACTTCACAATATTGCAATATTATAGTGTTTGCTGAAACAGCTGTCATAATCCAACAAATAACTGCAACAATCTGCGCATTTTTGTTCTAATTTAAATAAGAACGAACTTTATTAACCATTCAGGTACGTTACACACAAAATGATACTTCAAAAGTAACAATGCAAATAACAAAGCATTGAGGCAATAATAGTGAAAATTCACTCATAGTACTCATAGTATTCATTACATCACCAGACAGTACTTTGTAAAGACATGTGGCTAAGCGTTTTGTTATCTGTCAGACCCATAAAATGTAATGCTGATTCAATAAAAGGTCCCGCTGCTCAACTAGCACAGACAAACAGCGGTCCTAACTAGAAGATCCGCTTACGTTAGCAGAAGAAACAGACGACACAAAAAAATTTTCAGAAAAGCAAGTCATGTCTAGATTAAACATCTTTCATCCAGTCTAAGCTTTGTAAGCAATAACTAGTAATCTGGAAACGAGTTCAGACCTTGTGGTACTTCATTTGTTCTTGCCTAGTACCTGTTCTTATCGATATTCTAATTCAAAGAGTTGGTGTAAGTAGAACGCGTGTTATAGTACCATAAGTGACAATGCCACAATCATACGCGATAGACGGTAACAAAGCAAGGAGTGACGAATTTTACGGTCAAAATTTTCCGAAGAATGAAAGTAAACGTTTTTATCACTCTTGATTTTCGAGGACGACATGGCAGGGTCGACGATCTCTCTGACTTTATTGGAGAAAGTACACAGTTCCGAATGTTGCGGCATCTCTCCGACGTTCTTTTCGATCGCGAAAGAATCGGAATATATAAACTGCTTAAAGAGACGACCGCGTCTAAGGGGCACACTAGTTTTACGATTTCTTTTTGTCGGCAACGTGGGTACTATTGATTACCTCGCCGAAAAAGAAAAACGGAACTTTTATAACCAAAGCGCCTAAGGGTAAAATACTAGAAATTGTCTCTAAATTCCTAGAATGGCCGCCAGGAGGCGTGATCGCGTCCTTGAACTTTAAATCAAGTTTTACTCTTCCATACTATAGTATAGAGAATTTAAATATTTAATTTTTATTGGATATAGAGGAATGAGGTACATTGATAAGGCAATTCAGAAATTAACAAAAAAAAAGTAAACAATAATAATAAGGCGAAATGATATTGCTCAGGGGACAAACAAGTAAAATAGGTGTGTATGATGTATAGAGTTTAGGTATTTTACAATTTTTTTATCTATTGTGTTTAAAATAGCTTCAAAAGTAATAACATTTTTCAGAGTATTTTTATACTTTCGCTTGTTACAACGAAACAAACTTCCAAGTTATGTACTCGTTAGACTGAAAATTCATTTTGACTTTCAACAGATTTTAAAATAAGGGCCCAATATTATCCATATAATGGCTTTTAGTCATTGACATCTAGTTTGTAAAAACATCATAACGATGAAAATAGGACATCAACGTATCGAACTGAATATCGCTTGAAAATTTTCGCCGTTTACAGATGTATATAATAGAAAAAGACTTATAATTAAAATGTATTTGGAAATATTCTCCTCTAAAACACTTTCGGAAATGCCATCTAAAAGCACAGCATAATTTCAAGGTATATGTTAATAATATATTATGCAACAAGTGCGGTAAACGGGATTTTTTCTATTCCCATCTGTAAAATACCTAATTACATACCGATCTAGCGTGGGGGAAGCGTCACTTTACCACGTCAATTTCGTTTCCCACGGATCCGAGCCACTTCGGACATTTCCGGGATTTTACCGCACGGATTTGGGAGCATAGGATGTTTTCGGAGATATTTCCCACGCTTTGAATTTTGACGTTTGTCAATTCTGACGGTCATGTCAGTGTTGTTTTGCGAAAATGTACCCAAAAACTAACGGTCGTAGAAAAATTATAGTATGCAACACGTTCGGTAAACTTTTTAAGTTACTCTTTACGTGAGTCAAATGCCGTTTACCGCAGTTGTACAATAGTATATTACAAGTGCGGTAAATGGCATTAGACTCACGAGTTTATTTGACACGAGCGGATCCGTGCGGTAATATCGCGAAATTGTCCGAAGAGGCTCGGATCTGTGTGAAACGAAACTCGTGGTAATATGACACTTTCCGCCCGCTAGATCGGTATATAATTAGGTATTTTATAGAAGTAGAAGAATAAAAATATATTAATGACTTACGTAGAATATAAAAACGATAAATATCTTAGTGCTAAAAAAGATAAACTTTATACCGAGATAGCAAATCTTCTTCTTCTTGTAGTGCCGTAACCGTTAACAATTGTTGACTATCATACTGGCTATCATGTTGACGAATCATTTCTTGTTCACCGCTGCTCGGAACAATTCCACGAAGAGCTGACCATACCAATGACATAAGTTTTTGAACCAGGATGTTCTTCTTTGTCCGGGGCCTTTTTCGCTGTTTATCTTTCCTTTCATGAATAAATGTTGCAGTCCATACTTTTCGGGGTGTAGCAAAATATTGTAGATTACATTTTTTTCTGGTCCTTATTATTCCTCCTTATTGTTTGCCAATATCATCGTGCCGTCGGCATATCTGATGTTGTTGATATTTCTGCCATTTACGACTATCCCAAACCCTGCGTCTTCTAAAGCCTCATTGAATATTACTTCCGAATACAGATAGAAGAGCAGAGACAAAATGCAACCCTGACGCACTCCACGCTTGATTTCTATGTCATCTGTAAATTGGTGTCCCATTTTCGCTGTTGCCTTTTGGTTCCAATGCAGGTTTACAATTATTTGTATATCCTTGTCGTCTATTCCCATTGTTTTGAGTATTGCAAGCATTTTTTCATTGCACTTAACATCACGAAATCTTTGTTCAATATTTGTAAGCCGAACAGTGATTCTCTGAGTGCTTTTCTAAAGATCATCTGGGTAGTTTTCTTCCAGGTTCTTGTAGATTCTTTTGTAAATTATTCGCAAAAATATTTTTAGAATATGGCTAATGGACCTGTAGTCCTCGCAGTTCGCTCTCCTTAGGCAGCATAACAAATGTTGACCTTAGCCAGTAACTCCCGTCTCGTAAGTGACATTAAATGAGGTGGTGATTGTTGTCCTTGAGAAGCTCTACTACTTCTGCACTTACACCGTCAGGACCGTTTTTTGCCTACTCTACTCCATGTACCATTTTTTTTTGTTGTTATGGGTCCTGCTGTCTCTGTCATCGTCAAAGAGTTTTTGAACTTACTCTTCCCATCTTTCAAGTTGCTGCTGTGACTCCATTATTTTATTACCACTGCAATCTACGATGTTGTTCCGTGGGGATATTCGTCTTTGATCCATGAGGTCTAGGATATCGTTAGTTATCCAACTTTTTCTCGTATGGGTTCTTTCTTCGAGTAATTTGGAGTCCTGCACCTCTAACAATGTATCATTAGTCTTGCTTCACATTTCTTCAATGCTGGTTTGAGGCTCCAGTGACGTCCTCAGCCTTTTGTCCAGTATGCAGGATTGCCTCTTTTATTCTTATGTTATTCTTTTTTGGACCTTCTTGAGGTTTATCGATATTTTCAAATCTTGGCTTAGTTTTTGCTGCTAAGAGATTATGGGCCGCACTTCAGCCAAGTTTTTGCTCTTTACAGAATTCCTACAGTTCTTATTAATACAGATATAATCGATTTGGTTTCGGGTTATTCTGCTGGGTGTGTCTGCCAGTGATCTCCAAGTATACAGATATCTCTTCAGGTGCTTATAGTATGTATTTGTCATGACCATTTGCTTTTCCCAGCAGAAGTCAGCGAACATATCCCCTCTTGCCACCCTCTTACTCAAACTATGGCCTTCTATTGTGTCTTCCACACATCCTTTTCCAATTTTGGCATTCATATGCCACATAATTATCGTTATTTCATGATTATTTGTTATTGACTGTGCCTATTCCAGGTGTTCATAGAATTTTTCTATCGGCTCATCTTCTGCGTCCTGTGTTGAGGCATGCACGTGTATGTACCATTGTTGTTATTGCCACCTGCACCAGAATTATTCGATCGGAGATTGATATTAAATTTTTAATAGCTTTGGCCACTTTATTTGATACTATTATCTCTACTCCTTTGTATGTTGTGTACTGTGCTTTCCAGCATAATACACAACATGGTCATCAATTTTCAACCGAGAACATTGATATGCAGCCATTTTATTTCCTTTATTGTGTTAGTGATTTTATCCGATTCATACATATTTCTAACATTCCATGTTTATGGAGTTTGCTAAACCGTGCTTGATTTCAGCTGATCGGGAGATTCTTTGCACCCCTGCTCCATTTAAGGAGAGACCGTACTCTAGGCTGTTGTGTTCATCAGCGTATGAACTGGTATTCCCCGGGTTCTTTTAATTTTATTTTGAATTAGCTGTTATCATATTAATCAAAACTCTTTCAAAAATTGACGTACTTACCTCACTGTCTTGTCATTAAAGATATCCTTTATTGTATTGTATTGAATGTATTGCATTTTAGTTACAAGGAAATAAAAATATTATTTTGAGGAAAATAATCTCAATGCCATTTACAGATTTTGGTACAATAGGGCAATACATGTCCTTTTTTTTCTTAAAAATATAATTGTGGGATAGCAAGTCCCCGAAGAAGCTATGTTATTGAATCAGTACGATATTGAATGCATTTTTTAACGGCTAACATGTTATTGCAGATATCCTTCATCTTAACCTGCACCTGGGCGATATTTTCAATAAAGAAGACGCAATCATCGATGGCGCCCAATCCCTTCTACCCCCTGCGTCCGGAGGATTTAACGGAAGGGGAAATTAAGGAACTCCAATATCTGGACGAACATTTTCACAGGTACCGACCGATACGGCACTTGATAAAATCCGGCATTAAAAAAAAGCTTTTGTAAATTTTATGATATGTTTTGACCGTTGTCAAAATGGAAATTGCGTTTTGGATGGCTCGATAGAAAAGTGAGGCAAATTTTACAATAGAAAAAGACTGAAATACAAATGCGATAATGGGTTGTTTGAACGCTTTATTTACTTTGGTTATTTAATAAATAATATAGATTTGCGCCCAATAACAACAATAAAAATAAAAAAAATTACAAGCAGTAAATACGTGCTAAAACCACACAGTTTTAAATTACACTTTACAGTTAATTAATTAATTAATTAATGAAAGGAGGAAATTTTTGTGCCAAACCTTAAAAAATTTAGCAAAATTATTTCGACCTAACTTAGAATTAGCTATCATCATTATATCATATCATTAGAAATTATTGTGGCCCAGATATATATGTGATGATCTATACAGGGTGTTTTCTAAATGAATATCAATAGTTAATGGGGCGGTACGGTACTCCGCTGATTTCTCCCACGATTTAAAAAAAAATCCTTGATTTTTTTCAATCCGATGTATGCTTTTTGCTTATTAAAAATAAAAACTTCTTCTCTGCATTTTCATACCGTTAATATGAGAGTATGCAGAGAAATTAGTTTATATTATTAAGCGAAAACCATGTGGACGGACTAAAAAAACGTAACCCATTGCTTTTTAAATGTGTGATTTAAATATTCTCCTACTGCAAGACAAAAGTGAGCAGGCCCGCCGTCATGCATTAACCAAATTCTGTTCCTAATTAAATATGGCACTTTTAGTAATATCCGGATATTTTAATAAGAAATAATTATAAAGATTTCAAAAATACACTACACTTCTTTAATAATTTTATTAAAATTGAATAAAACAGACAAAATGATATTGTTATGACCATCGTACATTTGATTGAAAAAAATCAAGAAATTAAATTTCTTTAGAAACGACTGGATATTATAAGAATAATTTTTATTTTTGGAAAAATTAGTGGCGTGTCTGCCAAAATAGGAAAGTGAAATTGACCCTACAATACACTAAATAATGCCTCTTGGTCAATAATATATGTTTGCCAAAGTTTATTAAAATATCTAAAGTATTATTACAGATCTTAAAAAAATATATTTTATTCTTGAAAAATGTACCACCCTGTATATCAAAAGTTAGCATTTCAATACATTTAATACATATGTCAATATGAAGTTTTATTTTGACATTCAATTAGAAAACACCTTGTATATTGCTATTTTCTTAAAATACCCGTAAAGTTTAAAATTCATAGTAACACCTTCTAAAAAAAATGCCTGTAGATGTCTTAGAAACTCAAAATAGTTTTTCGAAAGTTTTTAATAAAATTACTGGTCATTTCTTTCAGGAATGTTAATTCAAAAAAGTCTTGAAAATAAATCACAACCACTTGATTCCAAGAATGATAAAAAAGTAGACAGGCAGAGCCACTTACGCAAAAAAGATATTAAGTCGTGTTTTCCTGCAAAGAAAGGCATACCTTGCCACTAGACGGAGTTCCAAAAAAAGAGACCTATTTAGTTCGCAGGCCACTCAACCTTAGTCGCCCTTTGTAGAATAGTAATTTTTGATTTAACAAATACAATTTTCATTACAAGGTTAAAAAGATCCGATAAGTCAGGGTCGGGTTCGGGTTCGGGCGACATTCTGCTGACGATATCGAGAGCCGTGGCCCTCGGACTGGGTCGAAAGCTCACCCAAGTGGCCAAAGGCTCGGCCGGAGCTGTGGTAGGAGCCTCCGGAGGTTTCAGCAAAGGGAGCAGCTCGGGCGATGGAAAACAATGGTCCTATGAACCATCCGATAGCTACGGGCCGCCATCATATGGTCCATCCGAGGTAAGATCGCACCAGAGCATTCTATGACACACTATTTGTTTATAAAATGAATGCACCCTTATGACTGGCTATACGTACCCAGGTTCACTCCACAGTCTTTGTTTATCCTTTGGGGAATCTTAACTTTTGCTAAGTTCTCCATCATCACGTCTCGAAGGCTTCAATTTTTCAGGCTTATTAACTTATTTTGGCAAGACAAATATATTTTGAAAAGAACAGAAATAATAAGTGAAATGGTAAATCTATGGTGTATTCTAGACTAACTTTCGGTGGGTTCGTCCTTACTCGTCCCTCGCGGATTCCCGATTTATATATGAAAAAAAGAAACTTACCACTCGGAATGCTAATAAAAGGCACAAATGACAAATGTAGATTACTATATTTAGACAACGGGTCAAAAGATCGACGTGTGGGACTTGAAGTCGTCCATATTGAACACGCTCCTCCAGGCGGTCAAGGCTATCAAGGGTGGTTTACTAGCGATCAACGGACAGCTGATCAAGGGCAGCGGTTACGTCGTTTCGGCCAAGGGAAAACTGATCAGTTCTTCGGGAGACGCGGTGACGAGGCTGGGCAAGAACATCATATCGAACGCGGTGCTGATAAAACCGGAAGAAAAACATCCGTCTTCAGGTAACCGATCACACGATCTCGTCTCATATATTTCGTTTTATTAAGTCGATGGTATTTTCTGATAGACTATGGCCCGCCCCCATCATACTATGACGGTCCGCCACCATCGTCGTCGGGATACGCCGTCGAGAGTCACTATCACCACGAATCCATTGGACATCCCGATGGTGAGTTTTTTTTTCTGACAATGGTATTGATCGCCATTACAACGATTTCATTGGAAAACTTGAGAGCGTAGGGCGAATTATCCCAGAAATATTGAATAAAACATGATACCAGGCGTATTCCGCAAAAACGCATAAAAAAATCTACATTTAAAAAATTGGTCATCTCCGGCGAAAGTTTGTTTTCGACCGGAAGGTTGTTTTGATTTCCTTTTACAGCGGCGATTAATACAAGACTGCTTTCGAAATCTTGCGACTGTGTGTACTATGCGCTACGCAGTCTACATAGATAGATAGATAGATAGATAGAAATAGATAGATAGACGAAACCAAAAAAACTATCAGTCCACAAAATTTACGATACTGTTTAAACCAAATTATCCCATTTTTTATAGTTTTTCATTTACGGCTAATAAATTGCAGACGGAAACGACAATTTTCGAGATTTTTTAATTTTTTTACCCATTATCAACACATCTTGTACATAATCTAAGAAATGCCCGAAGTAAAAATTATATGTAAGTGGTTTTCGAGAAAATACCTGTTTTCTGAAACCAAAATAAATAAGCACTAAAAATTCAGATTTTCACGAAATTATACATTATGACATGAGAATTGTTTCGACAACACCGTGTCTTTCTCAAAACGGTATTGTCGAAACAATTGTCATGTCATAATGTATAATTTCGTGAAAATCTGAACTTTTAGTTCTTATTTATTTTGATAAATGGATTTTCATCAAGTAAAAGCCACCTCAGTTCAATTTCTGAAACCATATTATACGCCGGAATAGTAAATGACGTCATCGCGTCTTGATTGAGTGCGGGACATAGCGACTGCACATGGAGTTTTTCAAATATCTCGTAAACCCACATTAGTCTGTACACCAAATAGATGCATTTTTATCAAATGTTGATTTACGGCTAATAATTTAATGCCAAAAAGAACAATTTTCAGGGTCTTTTAGATTTTTGTCTATAATTGACAAACCCTGTATATAATCGAAAAAATGCTTTAAATAAAAGTTACTGTTCTGGATCTTCATTTTGTGGTTCACAAATTTTGCCTATCATGTTAATAGTTTTCATGAAAATAATTATTTCCTGGAAGCCAAATATCCCAAAAAAACATTTCAAAATTTTAAAAAAATACTTCGCGATATTCGATTGTATGCTATTTCAACAATTTGAATATGGGTGACTTCAACATTTTTGATAAATGTGAAATCGATAGCCGCAAATTTAAGACATTTGTTAATTTCTCAATATAGCACGGAATATCTTGAAGACCTTGTACAATAGGTGAAAACCTCAATACAAAAATTTCAGCTGTTTATGGGGTTTATGTCATGTAAAAGAAACTAATATCTTAGACACAGTCTTTTAGAGCCAACTTTCATTAATAGAGGAACCCATTTTTCGTTTTTTTTTAATAGGCGGCACACCGTGTACATTTTTGAAAAATCATTAGGAATAAAAGTTTATATGGCCGAAGATTTTTTTTGGTCACGTAAACGGTTTTCTAGAAATTATTTTTTTCTTAGACCCGCGATTTTTATTTTTTTTCAAATACCTTCCATCCCCCCTCCCTACCCAATTTCAATTGGCTCTGTTAAGCGTTAGGAGACTAGGCGCTATATGCTTGCTAAACTTCAAGTCAATAGCTTGAAATTTTGGACACTGATCGTGTTTCATAGCGATGCCCAAAAACAGTCGAAAATCGAAAAAAAAAAGATAGACGCAGGGGTTTCATCTGGGTTTTTTAATTCCGAAGGCCTCGCGTCAAACCGTTCGAAAGTTCTGACAGGCAGAATAAAAAAAAAATTCGACGCTGATCATTTCTCTAATAATGGGATTTCTATAATGCATAAAAAATCACCACTATTATTTGGCGATTATCCGAGAAGAATGATGGTTTACTGGAGTGCGACAAAGTGACTAACCCACATTCACAACGATTCATGATATTTAATAATTAAGTATTCTATTCTAAACCAAATTTTTTAAGTGATGTTTTGAAAATAATGTTAAAATAAATTTTAAAAAATAATGGTATTAGTGATATTAATTCGGAAAGAGCAACAAAAGCAAAAACTTGCGTTGGCTTTTGTTGCACTCTCTTATCCGAACTAGTTCAAGTTTCAATGTTTTTAAATTATGTAAAAAAATCAATGGTTTTTGTTGACTGATCTTAGCTGGCTTAATAATTTTGATTTTGATTCGAATAATAGAACCAAATCTAGACAATTTTACTTTTTTATGCAATGCAGTTTTTATAATTTTTTTCTCATTAAAAAAACGCACCGTGTCATTTCTACAAAATGAAAACGAACAATTCCAGTTTCCGTTGGCCTGTGAAATTTTCCTAATTTTCTCGAACACAGTTTGCGATTTTTCTATTGACCCGTGCACTTTCTTTTTTCCACGCATTTATCTTAAATGCGACAGCGTCACCGAGGCGATATTTCAACGGAAGAAAGTGTGACCTTTGCGCCCGTCGCACGCGTATCTAATAGTGTCGTTAATAATTTCGGGCGAAAAAAACTTGCGCCCCCGGGTGGGCTCGAACCACCAACCTTTCGGTTAACAGCCGAACGCGCTAGCCGATTGCGCCACGGAGGCCTTATTGAAATTTTTCCTCGATATATTTGAAAACAATCGGTCCATCCAATCTTATCGAATTATTGACGAATATGGATTAATTAATATAATATTTTGCTAGATAAGGTACTTATGGCACGTTTAATTGCAAACACTTAACGTCCCTTTGCTGCCACCTTAACGGTTTATTTTCAAACGCGGAAAGCGGGCGACCCATAGAGAAATTTTCTTTTTTTTCACCAAAGCATTTGGATTGTTTTGTGGTGTCTTGAAAACTGAAGACATAATATTTTTTTCGAAATTATTTTTATTTGGGTTCTCTTTTTTCCGTTTTTCGGATACATGCGAAGACAAAAATTTAACTTATCATTAATCTCTATAAATTAGACACTTTGAACAATGTACTATTGGCAAAAACTGAGTAACACATGTTTAAATAATTTTGGTATCTCTAAGAAACACCAACAATTAGTTAACATCAATAATAATAATAATAATAATAATAATAATAATAATATTGAACAATTGTTTACAAAGTTTTACAAAAAATTAGGATGAAACAGTGATTTATACTTAAAATCTAGACATCACATATTGCCTCAACATAGTGTTAAAGTTATTGAAACTAACAAAATTTTTCAAGGTATTTGGCAATTTATTATTTTCGAGACCCTTATACAGAATAGAATTTGTCTTTTGGTTAGAGCAATACCTATCTAGTAAAATAAAATCATTGCGGTTTCTCGTAGGCACGCTATTAAAATATTTTACTTTATCACAGATGTAATCAGGTAATAGTTTATTTCTCAACTTATACATAAAAATATTTGCATCATAAATAATTCCTTGTTTAACCGTCATGACATTAACTACATTTGACATTAGGTTTACGGGAGTGTATCTGTTACACTTTAAGATCGATCTTAATGTTCTATTTTGAATTACTTGAAACGCATTTATCTTATAGTTCGGTAAGTTATAAAGGAGTGTGGAACAAAATTTGAGATGAGGTGCCGCAATGGCTGTTATATAAAAGGTATTTGGTGTACATGGAAAGACTATGGCCTAGTCTACGTATAAACCCTACTCTTTGTGAAAATTTTCTCATTACATAATCAGCATGCGTTTGTAGCGTTAGTTGTGAGTCTAACATGACTCCAAGGAACTTAATTTTATTTTCGTGTACTGTACCAGCATGTTTATTTATGTTTTCTATATTAACAGTACTCAATTTTTGTTTTTTTCCAAAAATACAAAATTTAGACTTTGACGTGTTAATATTAAGTTTGTGTTTACATAACCATTCATATATTCGGTTCAAATCACTCTCTGTCATCCGTTTCGTATGATCTATGTCAATACCGACTATATATAACATTGGGTCATCTGCGAATAATTCGATTTTGCTATCGTTAACTACCTGAACTATGTCATTAATATACAATAGGAATAATAGAGGCCCCAGTTCAGTTCCTTGTGCCACTCCATACATTGTACTATTTTTAAATCTAACTTTTTGGATTCTGTTATACAAATAAGATCTGAACCCATTTAAAACTGAACCTCGTATGCATAGCTTTCCCATTTTTATTAACAACGTAAACCTATCAATAGTTTCCAAAGCGCTCCTAAAAACCAAGAAGATAGCCGAAATAAGATTATTACTATCAACAGCTTGGAGGAAATTGTCACATATATTAACTATCACAGACTCACACGAATGTTGATGAAGGAAACCAGACTGATTGGATGCTAAAATGTCATTGTTATCGCAGAATGCAAGCAGTTTCTCTTTGACGACCATTTCCAATATTTTTTCATATACCGGAACAGTGTTTATCGGTCTAAATTCTCCATGCTGATTTGTGCCTTGAACCTTTGGAACTGAAATCACAGTTGATGTGTCCCACTCGTGCGGAAATACTCCGTTAGAAAGTTAAGTATTTATAATGTCCAAAAGACGGTTGCCTATTACACTGAAAACATCTCTGAGTACCTCAGACGAGACTCCACTCGTCCCACCACCTACATTTTTCATACTATAAACATATTTTTTAACATCGGACAGTGACACAGTTTCAAATTTTGAAAACTCTATATAGGTAGCAATGGCTGCTATGATATCTGCTATGAATCGAATTGTGGGATACTGGATAGAAACTCTGCAATGCTATTTACAAAGTATTCATTAAATTTGTTGGCAATTTCCATTTCGCCTGATACTGATACTGTGTCCACGCCAAACAATATTTCATCAGGGACCGTTGTATTCTTTTCAGGGAGAAGAACTTTCAAGTTTTTCCATAGAACTTTGGAGTTATTCTTGTTTTGATCGATTACCCAATGAAAATAATTATCCTTTGCGATTTTTATTTGTTTTACAATTTGATTTTTAACTCTTTT